CACACACACACACACACACACACACACACACACACACACACACACCTGCATTTGTTGTCTTGTAAATTCCCCATGAATAATAAGATTTATTTTATTTTTCATTACGAGCGCACTTGTTTCCTTGACATTCAGCATAACTCAAAACATCTGGGTTACAGCTCACACATTGTGGGCATAATTCAGCACGCAGCTTTTATTACAGTGCATAGATTTTTTTTTCTCAGACCTTGTGACATCCCCACAAGTTGCTCATCTCATTGCCTGCATGCCCTGCAGGTTTACAAGCCACAAGTCTGACCATGAGCATAGGTTCATATTCGTAAATTAAACTCTGGGAGTTCACGCTGATGGTGTCTGACAGAAGCAAACTGATTTTAAATGCATTACGAGTGTTATTAATAGGCTTGTTGTGCTGTAATAAAACTGTGCTCTCCTGGCGTCTTTGAAAGTCTCAATTCCCACAATCATTTTGCGAGTTTGAATGTGCATCGCAGCGGGTTAATGCACAAAGCAGCYTCTTTAAATGGAATCTCAATGAAGACTTGTAATGATAATGTGTTATTTGTATTCTCTGGCTGTTAATCCTTAGAGTATTATGGCAACTCTGTAAAAGAGGGAATCTAAAATAATCGGCATCAAACTCCTCACCCTCCAATATTGTTTCACCATAAATTCTTGAATCAGAAAAAAAATTAAATATATAACTTTTTACGTGTGCTTGACTAAGCGTGTCATGTTCCATTTTAAAATAAACTAATAGCATTAAGTAATTGTCAGACTGTGTCTCTTAAAATTTAAAAATAATGCATAAAGATGAACAATTGTACTTTTACATTTTGTTGCTCATTTGGTTAATAGTTTGCTCCTTTACTGACTAATTTACTAATTATGTATACCGAATTGTGCCCTTTAGGCTGTCAAAATGCAGAATCCAACTGATGTGCAAGATCTCACCAGGTTCTGCAAAAATACAGAGAGCTTTTTTTTTTTTTGGCTTTTAGTGAGCAGGATCCAACTTCTTCCACAGAATTCGCAGAACCCCTGAATGTGCATTTGCATGATTTGAGCTCATCATGCCGACATCTAATGGATCCCAACAGCAATGATGTTTGGGGGACAATTCAGCTGCGAACAGGAAAGCGGCATGATGGGAAGAATAAATGTGAATGTTTATGAAAGAGAGTATGTCATCATCAGACTCGTCAACAAAGACAGGACCATATGATTCTTGTGTAGGAGGGAACAGAGACACATAAACAACACAAAAGCACGAGCACCGAGTGGAACGTAAAACTGTTTACTATTAGCAGGGGAAGAAAAAGAGGTGTGCCGTGTCATATAACAACGTATCCTCCCCTGCATCCATCACACGTGTTTCCTCTGAAAGCTTCTGCAGACGAACAGACGTTTGAAATGTGCGCTGAAGTTCTGTGTCAATGCAGTGTCCATAGCCCTGCATACATGAAGCCAAGCTCAAACGTACTCGCTGTCATGCATGAATCTGCACCCACACTCCTACTCCCACACAGACTTGCAAAGCAAACATATAACACAGCCTCCCCACTGCATGTTTAGAAAAGAAAACAGCTTGTAGGGACGACTGGTCGAGAAAAAAACGAGGGAAGGGAGGCAAATAATGCTCGTCAAGTCACTGCAAAGATTATAATGTCACTCGGGAGCCAAAGCCCTGCTGTGCTAAATTTCAATAATTTCCCTTAAAGCACTGAAATCCCCCCCCCCCCTTCGTTTGCAACGCTTTTGTTTGAGAAGCACATAATTCACTCTAAATCATAACGCTGCTGTCTGAATTTTAAAAAGGTTTTATAGCTTAGTGGCATGATTTGCCCATGGCGAGTATGTATAATAACACCTGTTTTGTTCAGGATGTGCATGAGATAGCTTAGTTTGCAAAGCATGTCAGAACAGAGAATTACTTACAGTAACAAAGGTCAAACATGTAAAACATCAAGTGATTTGTTAATGCATGAAAGCTCATTCAGTATTCACCTGCTAAGGAACCACACTTGACCTTTTCATTTTCTAGACCTTCACTACCGACATGTTCACGTAAAAGAGTTGTGTAGGATGTGGACTTTAAGCAGCGTTTGCTTTTATCTCCTCTCTGTAGGTTGAGTGTTTGTCCTGATCTGTGACTGTGAATGTGTGGCCTGGAGGTTTTTCCAAGGGACCATATGGCACAATACCACACAATATAGGTAAGATGTGCTTTTTTTTCTCAGCTTGAAGCCTGAATAAATTTTCTTATCAAAGCTCATTCAAAGCCTCCCCAGGCATTGGCATCATCTTAAATGTTTAGAAGGCTTCTAATGAGATCAAATGATAAATGTGAGCTGTGTGACTCGGTTCACAAATTTCTTCTTGTACTTTGTCTGCCTTCTGTTCAGACATTGTGCTTTGAGTCTAAATAATTAAACATTTATTATCATTATTATTATTATTTTGTGGTTTTACAAATCAAGTCTGCAAAAAATAGAGAAATAAATCTGTACCAATTGTACAAAGGTATCTTTTGTGTTGCCTTTTTCTTTATCCAGAATTATTGTAGAGCCCAAACAAACCATCACCTCCTACTCATATAATGCTTGTATATAAAGCACTTTCTTTTAATTGCAATCCACTGCCTTCCTTACTTTGCATACAAGAGCCTTCTTTGCCAAAAATGTGRAATGTCTTTTCCTTACGATAATATTCATGCATACATATTTTTTTATTGGTACAGCACTGAAAAAGGGGAAAAAAATAGAAGCAGCCAAAGTCAGAAGAAATGCTTCCGAAAGCCTGAAAAAACATTGCTCAGGATTTTTTATTTATTTATTTTTTTAGATTAGAAGAAAGTCAAATTGCTTGGAGACGTAAAATAAAATGTGTATAAGCACTGCTGATGCCTTTAAATCAACATTAAAGGGGACAAATCATGCAAAATCAACTTTTTTAGTCCTTAAATACATTTTGTTGTGTACTTGGAGTCATGCAAAATATGTAAGTTTAGTTTATCCTAGTGCTGAATAGATACTGTATCTTTTTATTTTTTGGGGGTCATATTTTTAATCCTGTTTAGTTTTCTCTATTTACTGTCACACATTTTGAGCAGTAACGTTACAGTATTTGCTGTGGAGCTGCTAAACAAGGTCAAAGACCTCTGGCTTATCAGTTTTGCAAATACACATTTTTTTTAGGTTTGTGGTCTTAATTGTCCTCTGGCTCTGGGTCAGACTCTGGCTCCAACATGTAAGGCTGGATGGACTAGTCTTCTTAAGTAATTTGTAAATAAAAACTTTCTAGACCTTCACTACATAGTCGCAAACCCCTCCATCAAACTGGAAATAACCGCTCTGGAAGCTGGGGGTGGGGGGTGAAGTGCCTCATTTGGATTTAAAGAGACAGCCTCAAAATGAGTTGATCTGAGACACACCTCAGAAAAGGGGTAAAAGAGGAGCTTGTGAAGGTACAATAAGGAGGAATTCAAACCAAAGCATTGCAGTTCCACTTTATATAGACCCTAACTGCATGATTTAAATGTGAAAAAGAGGGATTTAAAACCAGGGTATGTCTCATTTTAAACATATCTTACACATTAACACTGAGTACAGCTTCAACATTTTTTTTCACCTATTTATTAGGTTTGCAAGTCACCAGTGACTGGGCCCATGGATCGGCTCATGCTGAGTAGTAAACATAAAAGCACAAAGACCAAAGTCTGGAAACAAGCAGAAAGTGGTTCATGTCAACCTTTAAAGAACACTAATTATCAGGCAGAACTTTGTAAAAAGTATGACCRGTTGTGTCCCTCTTTGATTTGAAACCGAGATGGTTTGAAGGCCAGAGCTGCTGCTTTTGGTCGATTTTTCTTTGGAGTGTATAGAGCGCTGCCCTTCCCTGCTCAGCCTCAGACTAAAGTGACTCATGACTCATCGACACAAGTTAATGTTAGCTACTTAATCTGAGCTGTCGCAGTGTGAGTTCAGAACAGCGAGCCCATGGGTAAGCTACCAATCTGAGCTGCCAATCAGCTGACACGGAAGCATCATTTAACATCAAATCGTTTCCAGTGAAGCAGTGTTTTACAAACTGAGAGTCAGAAAGTGCAAATTCAACAGCTAGAACTAAAAGGGAATCATTTTCAAGTAGATAATTTTTTAAAGCAGGCATGTATTTGATCCACTGACCACAAAAATCTCATGAATTCCTCTTAAGAAACCGAACATAACATTAACTTGAAGCTTCAGGTGCAGCAAAGGGTGAAATGTAATATTAGGGTTTTGTACCGCCTCAAAATGAGACTTCAGCTTTTAACAATGTCTTTAGTTTAAAGTGAGCATCAGTTCTGAAGCGCAGTGAAGGCTGTCCTACTTTCTTGGTGCTCATTTTGCATCATGATGGATTTAATGTGATCAAGAGTGCATGGATGCTTTTGATGCTTTTTGATGCTTTGTGTGTGTTTTCTCAGGAGGAGAGTGGAAAGCTCGTTAGATTTATAGAGGACGTGCAGAATAAATGTGCTACTTTTTGTTGTCTTCACTTCTCTCTCTAGTTTTGTAAATCCTGAACCCAAACAAAACAATGCTTAAACTCAGGCAGCAGGGGGATTCATGCTGATCCGAGTGAGTCTTTAGAGCACTTGAAAAGTGTTAAGTTGTCTTGGTTTTGTTGACACAGAAATATGAGAATAGCACATCTTTTGACAGTAATTTTAATTATTTTATAGTCAAGATTATTTATTCGTGTCTGAGGCTTTTAGTTTATCCGCATCAAGTCAGAACTTTACATAGACAAAAAGGTAATTTTAAAAATGAAGCAGTTTCAAATTGTTTTTCATTTCAGGAATATCCGTAGAGAAATCTCTTGTGAGATAGAAGAAATTAGTTGTTTTTCATAGAATATTTTTAAAAAAGCAATCACTTATATATTTTTAGATCACACTGGTTAAAAATTTATAAATATTTTTTGTCTTGTGAAGTAATATGATGAGTTTCCACTCAATAAAGAAGTTGCTTTTGTTTTTGGAAAGTCTTGGGAAATTTACCATGTATTGTTTCAATTAGTTCTTCCCTTTAACACATGATTGCACTTGTCTGTTGTTTTAATAGAAGCAGCAAGCTTAGTGTAGATGGTAACTTTCAAATTACTAAAGCCATCTTATAGTCAGATAGCATCTTTAATATGTTTTCATTTGTTGCATTGGATTATATATTAAACAGTCTTTGTGCGATGTCATTAAGGGTGCCGGTTCATCTTAGTAACTGTTCAGTATTCAATTGTGTTTTTAGAAGATGATTGTGGAACCAGGCTAAACAGGTCTCCACAAAGAAAAACACAGGTCCCACTTTACAGCTTACAAGACTAAACTGGGGGAAATAGTTTTATACATCAAAGGGCAGACTGGCAACTTTTAAATTGTGTAAAATATGACGGATTTTAAAACATATTTGTTAAACTAGAGAAAATGTCCATCTAACCAAATCTTACATATTTCAATCAACCAAAAAGTATTTTTGACTTTGTTCTGAGACTGATATACTAACAACACATGTGTTATTTTGCCTTTCCTGGAAATAGAGATGGGATGAATGGCTCTTTGAAATGATTTAGATCTTGACAAGTTTCATAAAGTCATTCAAAAGAGCTATTTGATTTTGAAAAAGTTAGGGTGTATTCACACCTGACACATTTGGTCCACTTTAAATGGACCAATTTGTTTCCACTGTTGGTTCAGACCTTTTATGCAGATGTGAATACACTCATGCAAACTCTTGTGTGGACCAATCAACTGAATCAGGACCCACTTTTTAGGTGGTCTCGGTCTGTTTKCAAATGAACTCTGGTGTGATTTGCTTCTGGTGTGAATACAGACCAGTCTCAAACAAGGGGTTACTTGTTTTAAGAAAACATAAATTTATGCGACTCACCTTCAATTATGGTAATAAATTTACACATACATGAATATTTAATTGCCTAACTACATCCTAAAGTTAAGGACTCCTCATGATAATTATTAATAATAATTTATCGTAGCAAATTGCTATTGATAAGTGATTAGAACTGTGTGCAGCAGATGATCTGAGTCCAGAGTTCTCAGTTTGAAACCTTCTGGAGCTCTTCTGTGTGACAGAGTGTGACAGAGTGTGGATGGTTGATTGTCTCTTTTGTGTCCCTGATGGAGACTGGAGACCTGTCCAGGTGTCTCTGGTGAACTGGAGACCTGTCCAGATGGCTCTGGTGAACTGGAGACCTGTCCAGGTGTCTGGTGAACTGGAGACCTGTCCAGATGGCTCTGGTGAACTGGAGACCTGTCCAGGTGTCTGGTGAACTGGAGACCTGTCCAGATGGCTC